GTCTATCACACCAATTACATAGGTGGCTTTCTCTCTCAAGCCGTCAAAATCTGCCTCATGTTGTAGATAATTGAATAGATTCTCCACCCCTTCCCTCCACCACAGCCCCTAGGAATGATACACACATTGAGGAAAAGAAACGCCAACTTTTTGTCCAAAAAATAGGAAGCCATCAGATGGGGAAATTCAGGTGTTTCTACCATCTTGGGCACTGGACGGCTGTGTTGGATCACTGATGTCATTTTATCTCCCAGTGTCTCCTTAAACTGGGCATCTCCAGGGTTTGAGTTGTTGGAGTATCTTCCTCTCATTTTGGAATCCCTTCCTTGGCTCATTTAAAAAAAAAAAAAAACATTTGTCTTGTAATCAGTTCTGAATAATTTTCTGAAGCACAGCATTCATACAGCTCAAGTGAGGTTGCGCATCTAAAACAGTAGAAGTGTGCTGAGCTTCCACAGATGCAGGAATGAAAAATTCCCTGGGGACAGGGAAGATATGGAAAAAGAGAATTCAACACTCCTTCCTTTAATAGTAGGTGATGGGCAATAGATAACAATGGCAGCCTTTCCTTAATGTTCTTCCTGCTCTCAGACAGAAGCCAACACAAACCCTGAAGTGTGGAGATTAGATCCATCTTTTTTTTGGCAAAGAGGTACCAGGGATTGAACTCAGGGGCACTCCACCACTGACCCACATTCCACCTCCACACTGTATTTTATTTAGAGACAGGGTCTCACTGAGTTGCTAAGCACCTCACTGTTGCTGAGAATGACTTTGAGCTCATGATCCTCCTGCCTCAGCCTCTCAAGCTGCTGGGATTACAGGCAGGGACCACCATACCTGGTTCAGATCCATCTTTTGAAAGATACATTTTTGTGAGTTTTTGCAGCACATTCACCTGCTCTTCTCTTCTGTAACATAAGGGTTAGGAGATGTAGGAAGATGAGACTTCTGAGAAAGACCAAAATCAGCAAAATTAAATCCAATGTAGCCTGTTGGTCAACCCCTAAGAAATCCATCAGGCAAGACAATTTTGTGATTGAAATCTTCCTTTGAATTGTGTGTGTGTGTATTTGTGTGTGTGTGTGTGTGTATGTGAGAGAGAGAGAGAGAGAGAGAGAGAGAGAGAGAGAGATATTAAACCCCATAAACATATATGATTATTATTTGCTGACTAAACATTTCAAAACTAGGGAGCAGGATGGTGGATAAGATCAGCCAGTGGTCATCCCTCAGGCACAATAGTTTTAACAAATATAATTTAAAAATTCCCTGTGTATATTTGAGGTGTGCCACGTGAATACAGGATACATACAGAAAATAAAATGGTTACTGTAATAAGGCAAATTAACTTATCCACCATCTCATATTCCTTTTTTTAAAACCAAGCAATTAAAATCTATTTATATAACAAATTTCTTCTTTCCTTTTTTAAACAGAACTTGTAAGTTATTTTTCTACAATCTTATATGTCATTTTTAAATAATTATCATTCCAGACTGATTAAAAAGACCGTCTGAGCTACAGCCTCCTTCCCCATGGACAATCTGAACCGCCACTGGGTCACTTTTGAGCCATTAGGACAGGACAAAGACTCTGTGCTGTGTGTTTCAAGAAATCCATGGTGTTGGCCATATGAAGGGATTCATGGAGGACATGATTGACATTCAACTCATGCAGAACCTGAAGTCTGTCCATGCCCGACATGGTGCTGAGCAAAGTCAACATCCAGATGCCATCTGCAGCCCAATTCCTCAGTTTGTCTGTAAAATGTTCTTCTACTGCCCCCCTTCCTATGAGGCCTCTTCCATGCAAAAATTCTAGAAGCAAGAAAACCAGCCTCCCAGGATGCTCACATCCACAACATTTAAAAGGACTTGAATGTGCGTTAAACTTTTTAACAAAAAAAAAAAGAAGAAGAAGAAAATAAAACATTTAAGGTTTCTATGGAAATATTGTGATGTCTGCAAGGAAGATGGCTTGCCCTATTTGGTATTTGGACTTTTCAGGATTTGGAAGGCTCCCAAGAATGCCGTATCCCACTTAAATCTTTCACAGTGGGGAAGTCATGGCCAAATTACCAAGAAAATAGAACCCCAGATAATGTCATGACGGATGTGTTAGTGAAATCAGGAGGAGATAAGACTGAGCAGACAGGAAGATGGGCCTGGGTCACTTCCTGGGCAGTGAGTACAAACAGCACCTGCAGATATTTGCTAAGAAACTTTAAAAAGGTTATTTTTAAGTCAGGACCTATGTGATTCTGGTCTTTGCCTCTCCAAGGAAGAAAAAATGTCTGATGGACATTTTGACTGGACTGAAGGCTGCATGGACACTGGGTGCCATGGCCAGGAGTGGGAAGGGGGTTGAATTCCTTAAACCTCTAGATCTATATAGACCCCTAGACAATAGCCACACTTCAGTGTCCCTCTCTGGGACCCCCCCCCGTCTTGGGGAGTTCTGCTTTCTATTACTATAATAAATCCTGTTACTTTGCTCTCACTCTTGTGTCCATGGAAGTTTCTTCTTTAAATATATGAGAGAAAGAACCCAACCCCATGCTCTGTGCTACATTAGTAATAATCTTGTTTTCATTCCAAAAATAATGTGAATCAGAATTTTTTGCCTTAAATAAAATCCATTAAATATGTTCATCCTTCCAATTTTCTAAATAAAATGCAGATACATATTTTTCCAAATGCAAAATGTTTATCTCTGGGTCATGAGTTTTTGAATGAATTTTTGCTTTTGACATTTTTTAAGCCTTTAGGCAATGGGATAGGTCACTTTTGCAATAGGAAATAGCCAAAGTGTCTCAAGGATCATCATGCCTCTGTTCACCACAACATCACAAAGCAGTGAGTAAGAAAGATGTTAGGAAATACTCAGGCAGGTTAGGCATAAATACAATGATAGAGTTGTTTCTTTGGAATTCTTTAATTATACTGTTACAGTAATCAGTGAAAAGGACATAAAACATGCAAATCTTACATCTCCCACCAAACCCAAGTCTGTTTACTCCCCTGCTTGAAATGGGCACACTGAATCAAGGGCAGTTGTTGGGGTGAGGGAAAAATCATTTATTTGCTAAGTCAACAAAACTGAGCTGATGGTGGGCTAGCAGCCTGAAAGACTGCCTCAACTCAGCAGACGCTTGAGCTCCTTTCAATCTTCAGGCAAGGGGGAAAGAAGGGGAGTTAGGTTAGGAAATGACAGGTGACCAGACTTCTAGACATCTCTCCAATGGCCCCACGCTGGACACCTGTTGATAATGGAGCTCCTGTAAATCCTGAAAATGTCTTGGTTATGCTTATCTTGGTATCATCAGCCTTGAAGGGGGAAGAGAGAGATTAGGGAGGGTTCAGATAAATCAGATTTGTGCTGCTAGTTTTGGGGAAACATTCCTCAAAAGATGGACTCACCTACATGCAGAGTGGAGCAGAAACAGTCTCATCAGTGGTCGGGGCAGCAAAGGGGGTGGACACGATATGGAGGCAGAGACACTGAGGCAGTTTACAGCTGCACAGGCCCAGGAGAAGCGCTGTTGACAGAAGAGCTCAAGCCCCTAAAAGGCAGCACCAGCCACTGTTACCACGCAACGTGGACCAACCACACTGACATGGTATTGAGGGGTGTCACGTGAATATAGGACACATACAGTGGAAAAAACAACTGAAGAGGGCTCTGTATGGTTCAATTTCCATGAACAGGAAGTGAAAACTTATGGTGGTAGAAGTCAGAGCAGTGGTGACCTCTGGGGATAGGGCATACAGACTGGGGTGGTGTCCAAGGGAGACTTCTGCAGTGATGAAGTATTTACTATTTGATGGGGTAGTAGTCAGTGTAGACACACATAAAACTCATCAAGGTTCACACTAAGATTTATGAACTTTGGTGTAAATCATCCCTCAAATAACAGTATTATAAAACATAAAAGAACACAGTGGGAAGACACACAAATGGACACCATGCTGAGTCAGAGCACCATGGAGAAAAGCACTCCTGGTCTCTTACCCAGTGGCCTCGAGTACTCCCCTCAACTTGCTGAGCCCCAGCTTCCGTGTTTCACGGGGGTGAACACAGGACCCACCTCAAGGCATTGCTGAGGAGACTTAAGAGATGCAGTGCCTCCGGCAGAGGCTGCAGTCTATTAACAGCAAGCTCTAAGGGTGAGTGGCTATCACAGGGTGCCAGGCTAAATGGCCACCCTTGGGGGAAAATGGCCAGTTTATAAAAGTAATGGTTCACTGGAAATGCACAAAATGTGAAAAGCTTTCTTTAATTCCATTGCTTCAAAATATACACATACACTTAAAAAATGATGGAATTATTCAGTTCTCCATCACCATCGTGGGGAGTATGACATACCTCTCTCATAAATGACCGATTAGAAATCAATATTTATAAGTGTGTGTTTACACCAATAATATGCTTGATCCAGTGGGCTAATGTAGAACTTAATACATTGATTTCAACCACCCATAAAGTGTTTATATAAATGGACATGCTGTTTGTGTCAGAGATTTGTACTCGAGTTAAATAAATAAAAGCACCCCCATTCTCTCCTATTCTTTCCTCATGAACAATGTCTTATGTTAGTAAGAAATGCATTCTTTTCATGTAAAAAGAAATAAACAGGCCAGAGCTAGTTTCATCTGCTGGATATGAAAACATGAGACACATGCTAACAAGTATTCTGAGAACAACCCAAATGTTTACACTTCTACAAACCCACAGCTAACTGACGAGGGGCCACTGTAGCAATGAGACACTGACAAAGGCAAGCCATCTTTCCTGATGTTCTCTCTGCCACTGTGGGTCCTTTTGTGCATGGCAAGTGAGGAGCTGTGCCTGAAGGCTTTCTCACACTGATTGCATTGGTAGGGTCTCCCCGAGGTGTGGGTTCTCACATGCACAATGAGGTGTGAAGGCTAGCAGAAAGCTCGCCCACACTCCTGGCACGCATAGGACTTCTTGCCGCTGTGAGTCCTCGCATGTTTCCTGAGGGACGAGGGCTCACTTAAGGCTTGTCCACACTCCTGGCACTGGTAGGGCTTCTATCCCATGTGTGTCAAAATGTGACTCTTGAGGGTGGACAGACGACTCAAGACCTGATTGCAGGTCGCACACTCATAGAGCTTCTCCCCCGTGTGGATTCTCTTGTCCACATTTAGGTGTGTGCTGGTCCTGAAGGGCTTCCAACACTGGGTGCACTCATAGGGTTTCTCTCTGGTGTGGGTCCCCAGATGTGTCTTCAATGACGAGAGTTCCCTGAAGGCTTTCCCACACTGGCTCCAAGTGAAGGGCTTCTCTCCAGTGTGTGTTCTCATGTGGCTCCAGAGAGATGAGGGCTGGTTGAAGGCTTTCCCACAGTCCTTGCATGCATAGGGCTTCTCTCCTGTGTGGTTTCTCTGGTGCAGAATCAGGTTGAAGTTCCTGGTGAAGGTTTTCCCACACTGACTGCATTCAAAGGGCTTCTCTCCAGTGTGAGTTCTCAGGTGTCTCCRCAGATTCGARGAATAMTTGAAGGMCTGTMCACATTCTTGGCACTGGAAGAATTTCTCTGCAGTATGAGTCTTCTCGTGCCTGAGAAGGTCAGAGCTGTAGCGGAAGGACTTTTCACACTGGTCACATGCATAAGTCTT